TATCTCGATACTCCCGGAAGTTTGCAGGGATACTCCTTTCAAGTTGAGTCCGTGAGATCCCCTACCCATCTGAGGGTAGCTATAATAAAGTAGCTGTATCCTCTGGCTGATAGCGTAAAGGCTACAGCAAATAGCTAGGGAAAGAAGTTCTGAGGAACATTCGTACCGGGGATGGGCAATTTGGACAACCGCTCGGTGGAAGATCGTCCCTCTGTCATCCCTCTCAAACTAATATCAATTTGAATTCGAACCGTTCAATACAAAAAGAGGAACACTAAGTACTTTATAATTTCTTTATATTAAACTAGCTGACCCGGCAAACATTGTTTTGCCATATATATAAGATTTCTACGGAATTTGTAGTGTAGAAAAAAAAAACTAACTTATTGTACTGTGTAAGGATGTGGTAAATGAGTGAAAGAGGTATGTAGTGCTGTGAACGATGAGAGAATATATAATAAAAATAACAAAACCTCATTCAACCACATAATACCTCATTAAAAAAAAAAGTCCAAATAAAAAAAAATATGTTAGGGGTGGACAACCCTAATCACTTAGGGGTATGAAAAATAGATAGTAGCCGATTCTCAGGCTTACTGAATATGCATAAAAAATTTCATGAGAATCGATCAAGCGGTTTCGGAGAAGTATGGGAACGAACATTGTGACACGAGAATTTTATATATTAGATTATGAAAAGCAAATTTCTTTATTTGTCAAAGCTTTTGGCACTACAACAACTTTAGGAATATATTTTTATAACTAAAATAGGTAAACGCCACCCAGACAAGATTGAAGTCCCAATTGCGCTGGTACAACCCCAGTTCTGAAGCAAACCTGAGCAGAAGCCTTCAAAGACACACGCTGGACAATCATATACACGACGTGCCTTTCAAGATCTTCAGGGGGCTGAATCAACGATGATAAGCACTCCAATACGAGAAGAGAATAACAGGAAATAGTATACTAGGATACGATCAACCGACACGGGTTTTTGCTTGGAGGGCGACTGTTGTTCTTAGATTGTTTTAAATAACAGAGACCTCGAAATATCGCTCTAATTAAGTTAACTCATACTCTCGTGTCTTCGACAATATCTGCCTTTAAATTCAAACCTTGGGTTTTATACGGCGCTAAGCTAATTCTTCCAGGTCTCCGGTTATCTATATCAGCAATCCTAAATCTGCTATAATTGAAAAACGAACTGGACAAAGAGCACCCAACTTGGGGTACTTGCTATCAGTCTAAATAAAATAAATATTTTATAAGTCCGTATTTCCTTATCCTTAATTTCCATTTCAAATGTAGTATTTGTTTGTTAATCTTTAGTTATTAATGTTTTGCTTATTGTCTAAATTTTAGTAAGAGTTGCTGTTATTGGATATAGCTGACCCGGCAGACTTCGTAGTGCCTCAATCGATAAATAAAAGGCCTAAACTTTTATAATAAACTTAAACAAACAAAAGGAATCTGTCCGACAGGGGATACATCAAAGGAAAAAAAAATTGGTATTTTTATCGAGCATTTTCATAAATATGTATCTACATTTTAAACCTTCTCTGGACTTCCACAAATAATTCAAGACCAAAATTAGCCAAATCGGTCCAACCGTTCTCGATACTGACGAACAGCAATTCATTTATATTAGGTATTTATAGATTGACCCCTCCTCGAGTGAAGGCCTAATCCAGTACTTTCCACTGATTTTTGTCCTTGCCAATAGTTTGCCGGTCCTTCCCTATGAATTCAGTTACATATATCGTCAGCCCATCATCTTTTCGATCTCCCTACCCTTATTTGCCAATTGACCCTTTCCACGTTGTAGTATTGATTGTCCACCTTGGGTCTGTGTATCTCGATACCCAAGCTATCAGTCTAAGTGAACTGAAATATCAAAGTCAACAAAAGTTCTAAATCACGATAAAAACTAGTCAAATTTAAGTATTCCTAAGTTACCATTACCGTACTATTGACAATTGGTATAACAGTGCCTCCGTATGCACTCATAAAGGCAGTACACATTACGTATTCATAGATAAAATTTCTGAAAACTAAAACCCGTGTTACATGTCCCGGCTCGAACTTACGACCTTTTGCCGCAACGAGAACTCGGATACGTCAAGTGAATTATAATACAAACAACAATAAACACAAGCGCAGCATTACGATTATTAAAAAAATAAAATATACATATATGTACCTACAGGTCGTTCAACTATTTTATTTACCTAAAAATATAGTAGTACTTCCAGTTGTTTACATTTCGAAATTGCATTTTTTTTGTACGTAATTTAAAAAAAAGATATATTATATACTATCGAACCCGACAGACGTTGTCCTGTATAATACACAAAGTGAATGAAATGAGTGAATGAATGAATGCATACGCAAAATTTCATTCAAGTCGATCCAGACGTTTAGTTGTAATTTAGATATATAATAGCCTAGATACCAACTGCAGCGCCATCTATCGGGCGGATTTGTGAATCTAAACCATCCATGGCGCTACCCAAACGCATACAAAAAAAATCATTTTAAATCGGTCCAGCCGTTTAGGAGGAGTTCAATGACATACACACGTACAGTAGAATTATATGTATCAAGATTAACGTCATATTATTACTCTCCAAATCCTCGCCATCAGAGACATGGTCGGACATGAAATCAAAGTATCGAACAGCAGATCCGACCTTATGGTTTTAATGTCGGGAAATGCATAACGAAAGTGAATTCTGAGTATGTTCATATTCATCTGAATGCAGGGTGTGACAAGACCATTCCCGGTGCTGATATGTTTAATATATCGAGGGGTAAAGGCTATTTTGTTTAAGCGAATTTTTTCCAACTTTCCTGTAAAGTTCACAGTTAAGGTCCATTTAAAGTTTAAAAGTTGGAAAAAATATCACACTAAAAAAAATATTTCTTCAGCTATTTCAATGGAGTGAACTTAATTGAAGTTCCATTAAAAAGTTCAATCAATTAAACCGTTCATGCTAATACCAAATAAAACGGACTCTTAATTACAAAAAAAAAATGTCGCGTAAATAGCATTTCACCCCTTCATATTATTATAATTATTTTACTACCACTACACTGCACTGGTGTGTAGGAACCTTGTCCGCAGACGCAATAGCAATAAACAATTACTATCCCCAAAAATAAGGAACTATTGACGAGATAACTTAACACTTTATTCATATAACACGCAAACTACAGCAAAAACAAAGCTGCAGGGCGTTGACCCCGCGCGTCATCTGGTAATACATTGAGTGTACAATATTCTTTTTTTTTTTTTTAAAACGAACACCATATGAACGTAATAAAACAACATACTGCTTTAAACGTTTTCCACAACGACATTACAATATCTAAAAAAAAACTTTAATTACTTAATAAATAAAAACTTAAAATTACCAATTCCCGAAGAGTACCAATATTACGTATGTATACTTATTATTATCATTATTTTATTATATAATTATTATGTAAAAACATATTTTCACTAAAAACATTAAAACAATTATCGGTTCAATATTTTCTACGTTGACTCCGCAGATCCAAAGGTCTAGAAACTTTTGGATCATGCGTGCGTTTATTGTTACTCCTAAGTAAGGTAATTGTGAATACAGCGTTGGTACGTTTTTTAATGAGAAAATCTTCGGGGCACGGCTTGCAGCACCCGACCTTGGCCCAGTAGACCATGGACACTTGCAAGACGTAACTCGTTTAATCGGGCCTTTTCCAATTTAATTCCCTACACGACATACGACTGCATTACACAATGACATGTCTATTGGTATGCAAGCTTTGCTTATTTCGTAAATTCCAAAAATACAATCTACACCAGAATTAACCTCCAAAAGCCACGAAGTGAACTCATTTTGTACCGCGCATTGACTACTTAATCCTACACATTAGCTTTATATTATGCTATCCGTCCTGCTCGCACTCTTGCTATCGGTCGTAAGTGTAAGAAAAACAATACGCACATATTTTTTTTGTTGACCAATGCGTGCAGTATCATTCCGTCTCGCTCGCAATGATTACCTCAGCTATACGTGCAAGCAGGACAGCCGATGCCAAATGACAACACTAACCGTTCTTGATATCACACTTCTTTCTCTAGAGACCGTCTACAAACCGACTACTATAAATACATATTAGATAAAATGTTCTAAGTATTATGTAACAAGTATTACGCGTCTATATATTTACATTATTACATTACGTCACGCTGACATGTAAAAACAAATTTATTAAACATAAATCCGTCAATTATCTAAGCCCCCACTTTTTATTTCATGTTTCCTTCCCCCCGTCCACTTATGTACAGTTAGCACATAAATCATGATTTAAAATGTTTTTTTTTAATATTACATAAAACAACATCAGTTTAATTGGCAACATTTTGTATAACGACTTCTTTATATAGAATAATTCTAGAATCGTCTAAAGTTATATGACAATGAAGACTTCGACCTACGAGCTGGTGAGCCTGGCTGGAGTGGAACCCGAGGCCCGTTGGTACCCAGGACCCAGGGACGTTCAGCCCTCGCCTTCAACGAGCAACTTAATATTCGAAGCGTCGGAAATAAACAAATATTTAATTCGTAACAATTGTTATACTTATGTTATTGCGAAAACTGAATATTGGCATTGAACATAATTTGACGAATTTGCACTTTGTCCAGAGCAAACATTTTGATTTCGAAGTGAAACTTCTAATGCGACTTCCAACAAGGTTGCGTTAAACGTTTAACGCTGCCATGGAATAGAAAGAGACAGAGCGAGAGTGAATGCGCGGCACTCGTGCGCATGCGCGTAGTATACCTAGTACGGGCCAGCGCGAGCGTTAGCAACAAGTAGCATCCAATATTTTAATGAAGTATTTAAAAATATCTATATATATTTCTTTTTCATCTATAATTTAAAATACATATAACATAAATGTTGAAGATGTCGCATCTCTTATACACAGCATTCCCTATTACAAGGGCAATCTGATTTAAGGATGAAAAATGAAGAAAACCACAATACTACACATCGAAAAAGAAGTTTCACTTCATTCCCGTGCATCAAATTGCACGCGCACCGTTTTTTATAACAGAATGTACTTAGATCGAATATAAATGAAAGTTCTAGAGGCTTCTGCGTCGGCCCGTGCTTAGGGACACAGTCCAGGTAACATGAGTCGAACAACTCACAAATATTTTTAATGTCTATGACTGGGAAAAACTTCAAAAAATATTCATAATAATGATAACTTCACACACACATACACACACATCTATATAAAACTCTTTGTAACTGTTACACAGTATTGTGTGTGTAATTTGAAAAAATCCACTAATTTAAATAAATACACCTTTACTAATTACTGATGTTGATTGCTACATTAAAAAAATAAGTAAACGTATTAAAAATATTTTAGTAAAAATATATTGTATTTTTAAAGCATTTCAATTTTAAATCGACGTAATATGTAAAATAATTTGGTTTTTTTTTTCAAACGATACAAGTACTTGATAGTAAGCATTGCTTCGAAAAAAAAACATATTTTATACAAAAGAAAAATGTATTAATTATATTATTTATTATAATACACATATCACACGTAACTAGATTAATAATTAATTCATAACAATTATCTAACGATTACTATTCGATACCTATTTTTTTTATTTTCGGTTTGAAGCATACTTCATCTATATAGTATTAAGTATATTATTCTTTTAAACTATTACGCAAGTAACAGAGTCCGCTTGGAGCGCGTTCCGCCGCACACGATGAGGTACAATTTTGCGTCATTTTGTTGAATCACTAAGATATCGATTTTGAATAATTCGATTAGAATTTTAATCGATACTACTATCGCAGCTATTGACAGGCCGGCACCGGGCGCCCCTTGTCGTGTGGCACCGCGTCTAGTTCGTGGCGTTCTCTTCTCCACACTTACCATCGACTGTGTCTGTGAGACGATTCAGAGGAGTCACACGTCCGGGTTAAAATTCATTAGTAATTAACATTGCACTGTCGTTCCGAATGTTTTATTTTTAGTTTTTAGTCGGATCCGTGTCCCGTCTCGTGAGGGGGGCCGCCCGCGAGCGAGGAGTGCGGCGCGCGGGGGGGCGGGGGCTCGCATCACCGCGACGGACAGGAGCTGCCGGTGGACTTGCCGCTGAGGCACGAGAACCCACTGGCGCCCGACTGCAGACTCGACATGGATCCTCTGCGGAAGATATCACGGGCTCAAACAAACTAAATTCAAAGCTTACAGACAGTCCGTAGGCAGCGGCTTGGCTCTGCCCCTGGCATTGCTGAAGTCCACGGGCGACGGTAATGACTCACCATCAGGTGGGCCGTATGCTCGTCTGCCTACAAGAGGAATAATAAAAAAATAGTGAGATGATTAGCGACATTCTGTCTTTGTTATACTTTGGTGAAGAAAGGGGACAACAATAGTTTTATTTTAAGCTTTGCGGCTCCTTGAATTTTTTTAATAACGTAACAACAGTTTTGAAGTTGCTTAGCGTGAGCATTTATGAACTCATTTATGTCAAGCGCGTTGCTATCTTGCGATATTACTCAACGCCGTTAGCACGCGCGTCCCACGTGCGGGTGTGCACGCGCCCGCACTCGCGAAGTCGTTCGTGAATATGTGTTTAGTTCTCATTGAGCTGAGCGGGCGGCGGTAATGTAGTGTAGTGCAGTGTAATGTAGTGTAGTGTAGTGTAGTGTAGTGGTGGGTGGGGGAGTGACCTGTAGTGGTGGCTGGCGAGCGTCTCGTGGAAGTAGACGAGCTGTGCGGGCGGCGCGTCCAGCAGCTCGCAGCGCCACTGCAGCACGTAGGCGCCGCTGCAGCGCATCACGTGCGAGCCCTGCGCACACGTCCCACTGCACTCTACGTACTCACACCACAAATAATTGGGTCTTATTTCATTATCGACGCTCCATCTGATAGTAATTAACGTCACTCGTGGACATCAACGGTAGCAAGACACCAGCAAACCAGATAATATAAATAATATAAATATAATCATCAAAACTGGTAGGTACACTTGTGATTCCGCGCGGGTAGGTACCACCGCCTTGCCTATTGCTGCCGTGAAACAGTAATGCGTTTCGGTTTGAAGGGTGGGGCAGCCGTTGTAACTTTACTGAGACCTTAGAACTTATATCTCAAGGTGGGTGGTGCATTTACGTCATAGATGTCTATGGGCTCCAGAAACCGCTTAACACCAGGTGGGCTGTGGGCTCGTCCACCCATCTAAACAATAAAAAAATTGTTTGGAGAAACTTATATTTGTTTTATGTCCCGTACACTTTTAAACGAGTTTTGACATCGAACCTGATTGGCGCACGTGAACAGTGACGTCACTATGCTCTACTTGACTACGCTCGCAATACCACGGAGCAGTAAGCAAGCTGCCCGCCGGGTACCTGTATGCTCTCCCCGTCGTGGCACAGCAGGGTGGGCTCGACGCGGTGGTAGTGCTCCCCCTCGCGCCAACCCTTCTGCTCGAGCACGGAGCGGCCCTCGTCCGCGCCGCCACCTACGCACAACGCTGAAATGTTACGTCAAGCGATGGATCAAACAAAAGCAAAAAATATTCAAGAGATCAAATCAGCACGACCTCCCGGTGCAGGGGCTCGGGGGATGGGGGTTTATGAGGGGTTATTTTCAGAGTTTCCACTTTTAGGGAATTCTCCCTTTTTTATGGAAAAATAGCTGATATTTTGGATGGTTAAAGACAATTTGAAAAATACAAGGATTTAGGAAATTTCGGGGTAAAAAGCAAAGCCTTTACTAGTAACTGTAGTAAAGGAAACCATAGACTAAACCACTACTTTTTTCTTCGGGATTCCCCATAATCCTAATAAGTGTAATCTCTCAAATTTTTATTTACCTATATTCGTTGATGTCACCAGAACTTACTCGTATTGTAATATATGTATAGGTACTTCATGTACCATGAAAGATTATCATGGTAATTTCATTTACGAAAACCTTGAAGTTGTCATTTTACTTTTACTAGCAGTTCCTTCTTCAAGGACTGAAGTGGAAAGATTATTCAGTGTTCTCAAAAGACGTCCGGTGCATTCGTATCGAGCGATGCACCGGTGTTCGAATCCCGCAGGCGGGTACCAATTTTTCTAATGAAATACGTACTTAGCAAATGTTCACGATTGACTTCCACGGTGAAGGAATAACATCGTGTAATAAAAATCAAACCCGCAAAATTATAATTTGCGTAATTACTGGTGGTAGGACCTCTTGTGACTCCGCGCAGGTGGGTACCATCGCCCTGCCTATTTCTGCCGTGAAGCAGTAATGCGTTTCGCTTTGAAGGGTGGGGTAGCCGTTGTAACTAAAACATGAGACCTTAGAACTTATATCTCAAGGTGGGATAAGTTACGTTGTCTATGGGCTCCAGTAACCACTTTACACCAGGTGAGCTGTGAGCTCGTCCACTCATGTGAGCAATAAAAATAAATAAAAAAATTAAAAAACGTTCATAGCGCCAGCAACTCAGTGTAATTATTCTAGATTATAATTCAGAACCCGCTGAAAGGGACAGCTACGATACTACAATAACAATTGAGGTTTGAGGTGTGGCATTCTGACCATTTAGCACCGCGTGGATCATGACCTCTATTACCTCACCTCTCTCTCACTTCCATCTCACCTTCTTTCTCACCCACTCTCCTCTTACACTTATTTAAACAATAAATAAAAACCGCTTATAAAACTATAGGCACATGTTTAAACTTTTTCCGTAAGATACCACCCCTCAAATGTAGGGTGGGGATATCACAACACCACTGACCTGAGTTGACCTCGTCGACGGGGTTGTGGAGCTCGTGCTCACTCCTGAACACGGTGAACGCTATGTCGTGTCTCAGAACATCGAAGTCCCAGGTTAGAACGCTCTGAGGGTCTTTGTTGAGCACGACGACCTCGTGCACCTGCGCACAGAAACGACTTTGAGCATTCATGAGCCAGCGCACAGGGCTCTAAAGGTACTAATTAAATCGCTCACGTGATCAGATTAGAAGAAACGAAATAGAGAAGATAGTATGAACGTTCTTCGGAGATGCGTCGTATTTGCAAAGTCATCTTGAAATTGTCGCTGGAGTCTGTGGCGGAAGTTATAAATTACAAGGAATATGGTATAAACTTGAATCGCGCTGCTAAAATTCACAAGAAAACTTGCATGCATACAAAATCCTAGCAACAACCCAGACCCTAACTCCCTGCGAGGATATCCCAGCTTTAGACGACCGCTATATAACATTTTCATCTTGTTCTTGCCCTTATTCCATATTGTGTGTAAAGGCACGTCCTTTTCTCGTCCTTTACTGGAATTTGGCACGAGTTTACGACCAGTCGTCTGTCTGACTTCAACCCTTACATTCAGTAGTATATCCATCGCAACGTGCCATAGTGTCCATACGGAAGACATTTTCTGTTTCTGTTACGTCGTGTGTTACTATGATTTGCATTTGTATAAATAAGGATTTACGTAAAATTGTATATTTTCAAATGCGCATGTCACGCATCTTACATGTCACTCGCAGAAGTTGAGAAGTGCGCGTTTGGGATGGTATGGACATGTGATGAAACGAAATGACAATGAGGTTATTAAGAGAGCTTTAACTATGAATGTGGAAAGCTTTAGAGGAAGGGGTAGACCTAAGAAGAAATGGATGGATTGCGTGAAAAACGATATGTGTAAGAGGGGAGTGTGAGCGAAGAAATGGTAAATGATAGAAGAGTATGGAAGGAGAAAGCATGTTGTGCCGACCCCAGGTGACTGGGAGAAAGGCCGGAGAATAATGATATATATCTAGTTGAATCTCCTCTTTTTTGCGATAAACGAAAACCGCGCACTTCTCAGCTTCTCTGTCACAGGTGCCACTTTCAGACTTCCTCTATTATTATCAACTAGGTATATATCTGTGATCTAATTTCAAATCAAAGTTCCCGTGAACAAAAACCCGCGTATAAATCCAAGCAGCTCATCACCTGTCCCTTGCCCAGACTGACGGATCTGTAGATGCTGTCCTCCCGGAGCGGGTCTCCCTCGCGTTCGGTGAAGGCGCCGCTCACGTACAGGCTCTTCGGCACCAGACCCCCTTCGTGGACGAAACTCTACAACCATAGGAAATACTTTTAAAGACTTTAAATACATACAGAAAAAGGTATTCATCCTACTGTGGACCGCCACAGTAGGATGAATCCGCTACAGTAGGTCATTATACAACACAGAAATTGACAGATGCCTGAATCTCAAGACATTTTCAAAATAAGCTTGCATATATACAAGTTCTAAACAACAACATTCGGACCGTCAGTCTACCGAGCAATATCACCCACTCGGTGGAAGATCTTTTCTTTGTCGTATACCTGCACATATTCAAAAGCGTCACCGTAGGCGGTTGTGTCATGTGTCATCACAATTATATAAATTAAAAAAAATGTCGGCATATCGATAACACTGCAACAATATGACGTTGGAATTCTTTCAATAACAGTTATTATTACAGACGCACTGAAAGTATTACCAAAAACTCCCGCAAGTTAAGCCCTGTTAGCACTCGACTTCAAGCGCGGTCGCGACGGTAGCCATCTTTGCCCCAGTGACAGATTTAGGCTTGATGCCGCCCTTAATATTAGAATAAATTTTATTAATTTTGAAGCAATATTTAAAAAAAAATTAAAGTTACTTTATAACATTTTTTTTATACATATTAATCTGAACTCTCTTTAAAAAGAGACTGTCTTTAATTTTCATTGCAGGCTATCAGACTACAATGCATATTCTCATCAAGAAAAGCTTGAAGGTCTTGTGCGGAGTTTTTTCGTCTCTGAAAGTTTGGCTTATCAAAAATTTTGTCGACCCTCCTCAATACATAGGCCTAGGCCTTAGGCCCGGGCCTCACGGGCCTGGGTGTGAACCCATCACTGCTTTGCCCCAAACATATGTATAGACATCTCACAAGTGCCGTGTTTAATCAGCTAAACATTACAGTGAAATGACGTCACATTTGAATTATATTTATGATTTTGCAAGTGCAAACAAGAGTAGACAAGACATTTGACGTTTGTACGAAGGGTCTGTACGAACTACATTTGGATAAAATAATCACGATCTTGTCACGATTTCGATGGCATTCATCCCGCTAAACTTCATAAACTCAACCTAATGAAAGAATCCTTTCGTTCAACCTAAGACTCGTGGCAAATTGTATTTCGATTTATTTCTAACGAATAAAAAATAAATAAAAATTGGACATCCTTTAGGCTCTGACGTAGTCGTAGTAATAATAAAAACTATTTAATTATAATATTTTCAATTAAAACACATAATAACATTTGCACAATGGACGAACACGTATCGAGTACGCGTGTACTGAACAATGAGTGATGTGTTCAAAAAACATTTATATTGAATATTAAATTCGTACGTAGTTGTAATAGCGATACGGGACGTACATCCACACTTCGAGCACATCCGTCTGCGGCGGTAATTAGAAAACAAAAAAAACAGAACTCTAAATTAAAGGGGTTTCACCTTAGACCGACCCGCGGTACAGCGCCGGACCCTGACTGCAATACTTACAGACAAATCTTTTTTTTGTATGGAAACTAGCGACATCTTACAGCGGATGCCCGTAAACTTATGTTTTGTTAAAGTTATGGCATTTAGTTATTGTATAACTAAACACAGAAAATAACAAAATAATAAATCATACAAGACTTTATTTGTTATAGACAAACTGATTAAATTTTATCAATTTACAAAACCTTCATTAAAAATAAAATATAGAATAGGTAATATGTTACTGCCATCTCCAGGAGCAATAAGAAACTAATCGGAGCGAAGCCATCTAGTGGTCGACGCCCGTAAACATTTTTGTTGAGTTGCATATCTATAACTAATTTATGTGTATTGTCTATGGTACAGCGCGTCTCAAACCTAACTGCATCTCTAAGCTTAATTCTCCTACAAGGTTACACCTCCCCTCCCTCCCCCGCAGTTATATCCCCGGGGAGGGCAACTCCATCGCACACTGCATCGCCAGTCCATTCACTGGAGGGCAGCACCAACTCGGTTTTCTATACAGTATCTATAGTTGTCTATATAGAGCACCACGGGGACCGATGTTTCTACACTTTCTACCAACCAAGGACGAAATAAAATAGCTTGGTACCCTTAGAAATTGAGTTATCAGTGTGTTCAACGTACACACATACAATTTTAATTATATATGCTACTGTAACAGTACAATGAACCAAATGTACAGCGACATATTTAATTAACAGTGCCCACCTTGCAAGGACCTCCGAGGAAGTCGGGGATCAGGTCCTTGGGTATGTAGTCCAGCAAACCTCCCGGCTGAAGGTAGTCCTTGCCCCCGTAGAAAAGGAACTTGCTTCGCGTGTTTTCATCTGCAAATTAAGACAATATAAGGTTTATGAATATTATGTATTTGCCACCATCAAAATGTAAATAATAAGAGCAATAGTGAGACGGAAGTATTTGATTGCGGTTGATGTGGCGCCATCTACCGGTCAATTCGCAAAACATGAAACGCGCTTGAGATAACTGGTTAGGTTTTAACTGGTGGTAGGACCTCTAGTGAGTCCGTACGGGTAGGTACCACCACCCTGTCTATTTCTACCGTGAAGCAGTAATGCGTTTCGGTTTGAAAGGTGGGGGAGCCGTTGTAACTATATTGAGACCTTAGAACTCATATTATTATCTCAAGGTGGGTAGCGGCATTACGTTATAGATGTCTATCCGGTAACCACTTAACACCAGGTGGACTGTGAGATAGTCTACCAATCAATGCAAAAAAATGGGGTGTGGCTGTGTTATGGACACGGCCGTTTGTTGTACGTGAATACGTCTCGTAACGGGTAATAGTTTCTATATAAAATATTATTATTTATGTATGTCATAATCATAAGAAGTCCTCCGGGTATACATGTTTTGTTTATGATGGCAACTTTTTCATTTAATGGATTACACAGCCCGATGTCGATACAGAAGCGATTTCATCATCCATCTGCGTAATTTCAACCGTCCCAGCTGCAGATGTACTGGCACCGTTGTTGATCCGGTCGGCCGCATTCATTACTTTACGTTGCCGGCACTGCTTGACTCGATCATATGGTGTTTTATGGGTACCATTCGATTGCTGTTGAGATGCCCTTTCCAACCGTATAAGATCTCTGTATTTCGATTTGGCTTTTCGACGCGTATAGGCCGACATTATATATTTTTTGATTTTTTATTTTATTTTAACACCTTATTACACCTTACAGTTACAATTTTACACTATCGATTATATATATATATATAATCGATAGATTTTGACGAGAGCTGACGATTGAAACTTGAATGAACGTCGTAGCTTCACCGAGTCGAAAGTTATACTAAATGGAAATCTCGATACGCAGCAAAATGACCTTCAAAATGGCGGGGCTGCCCCCTCCCCCGCGCGCGATGTGTTACAGTCTTTACTTAGCGTAACAAATTCTTTGATTCTTTAGCTATCCAGTGGTGTAACTGAAATTTGGATGGAGATGATAGATATGTAGCTACAACACTAAACTGTATCCCCCGATTTTGTTATCATTCATTTTTTTGGATTGCGTCCCTATGGAAATAATTTTAAAGACGTATTCACGTCAAAAAAATACTGACCGATAAATGTGCTAACGATGGTCCACAGTATAGGAAAGACCCTCGGAGCCCTAACGATGAGCACGCGGCCCATGGTCTCCGGGTAGTTGGCCTCCACGATCTGTATGATGCGGAGCAGCGCCCGCACGCCCGGCCTCCACAAGTGCCGCATGTTCAGCCCGTCCAGGTCGACCAGCATGCACCACGAGTGGACGGCGTGCTCCGATGAACGAGTGGCTTCTTCGAGTAGTTTCAGCCCTTCTTCGCAAACATGAAGAGTCTGGAATGAGAAAACTCTTATATGTCAACAACTGCTCAGGACTAGCAGTCCGTTGACATGGCCAGGTACAATTGTTAGTTTTTATTTGCTACTAATTTCTATATTTCGTTTTCATCCAATAAAGTTTTCCGTCAGCTTTTTTATCATATGTGACTCTAATGTGTAAAATGACCTAATAGAATATATATACACATATGTTTAAGTAATATCACCTTCACACTACACCTACACCAAGGTTCATCTCTGCACTCCCCTAAGGTAGACTGTTAGAGAATGCCTATGGCATTAAGTCCGCCTTTATACTTTCTAGTATATGAAGTTATAAATGAGTCGGCTATTATCAAAGGTGGCAATCTGTGCATTTGGAAAAAAAAATTATTGATATGTCAATACAGATTGATTTGAATATAATCAATCGTCTCCTTCAAAGAATACGGTTCAAAACTTGAATTAAATAAAGGTTAATACTTAACCTGTTATTTATCTAAGATGTCGTTCAGAAGAGTTTTGTGACAGCCAATGGAATACAAAGTCAATAATTCGTTTTTCTGATTTACCAATAATTGTCCAAAAGTCACATTGCCGGCTTTGATAATAGTCGACTCAAATAAAAAAATAAAGAAATAAATAGATTCAGATCACTTACCAACTTTAGAAGTCCATCTTCTCCGATAGATTTGAGCAGGCCTTTCACGTCCATTTGTCCGAGCCTCAAAATATAAAGTGGCCGTCCGTCTGGAGGTAGAGATACCAAAAGATGAGATTAATTTGTTTTGGAGCAAAAAAGTGCTCTGAGCATTCACATCCGCCAGAACTACGGTGAGCTACTTAAAGTCTCTTGTTACTTTAGTATTACTATGCACCCTTTAAATCATTTATCAGTGCTCACTCATCCAAATATATATAAAAGCCTGATATAATTTTTTATTGTGTACATAAATGTGAATAAATAAAAATCAAAAAAATCCGGTTACCCTTGTCGTGATGGTGCCACCCTCCAGGGAAGTATTGCTTCACGACGTCGGGCGTTTCGTATTCTGACAGGATCCTGTCGACCTGGTGCTTCTTCCTCCACAGAAGCGACTGCGAGAGCATCTCCCTAGCTTTCTCTACGTTGAAGTCCCGAGCCCGAAGGAAACGTAATAAGGTCGTGTCACTTGGCACCTGGATTTTTGCAAAGATTTCTATTGAACGAAGATGATTTTTGTTAACACTTTCGCTACAGCAAGCCTTGCGGAGTGCTTCGCAGGTAACAGAGTTCCGCGCTGTAAGTGTACACATCACCCATCCTGTACAGACAGAGTCTATCAGCCGGTGACTATGGTCACACATCGTGTACAGGCGGCGTTTGGCGACGGGTCATATAGTCACGGATGTTAATGAAAGAGTTAAAACGTATTCTTCATGATATCTTAAGAAATGAACGGGACGTCGGTAAGAGATTGCCAATCCTTATGAAGTTTTCGTTATCAGTCTCAGGAAAACTCTAAGCCCAGCAATGCGTGGCAACCGCGGTGTTGTGATTTCTCACACGAGAGCCACGAGAGATAAAATATTTATACCAATTTCTAAATAAGTTAGTTAAACCTTAAACATTCCACCTTCAGAGTCAATCTTCAGCGTTATTCCAGTCACACAACAAAAAAGTATAAGGGCCCGAAAATCACTAATCATACGTCAGGCCAAACCTGAATTGTAACTATTTTTGCTTCAATGCTTTTTGCTTCAACAGCTACGGTGGCAAGTGGCTAACGAAGCCAAGAAGCAATACAACGGCTAACAGTAGACCTTGGGTCTGCCCCTCCTCTAGTAAAATACGAAAACGTGAAACAGCTTTTGGTAAGGTACCTTGCCCTTTTGCAATTCAGCTATCCATTTCCTTAGCTGCAGTAGTCTGGACTCCTGCATGGTTGTCAGCTCGCCGAGATAGCGCTTGATGTACTCGCTGTCCAGTGTGAATTGATCTGAGAGCAGGGGAATTATGAGGTAATGAGTAAATAGTACATAGAAGAGTACACCTCTTCACAATGCCGTTTACATGTGTGTAAACTAAAAATTCAAGAATTCTTGTGTAATACACCCATTGAAGGTCTTCTTTTTGGAGCGAGATAAATTTAGAAAATTATATATTTAAGAATCATCACGGTACAAGTACTATAATTTTTTTCATAACGTACTAATCAGAATAATGAACAGAATCACATAAGATACGGGGTCATATGAAAACTGAGCTGATCAAATTCGGACCAAGTTAAATGTGTTCAAAGTTACCAAACACAAAAACATGGTGCCCAGCCCTAGGAATTATTGAATTTACCGATATTTATCTTTGTAATTAAAAGTGCGTTTTATTTGGTATTTGTATCAACAGTTCGATGTTTTTAATTGAACTTCAATTATTCAAACAGCTGAAGTTTATTTGTTATGATATTTTTTCCAAATTTGAAACTCTAAATGACTCTCCTGTAAAGTTGCAAAAAATCTCGCTTAAACTATTTAAATAGTTTAAATAGTCACCTCGAACATATGTAGGTATATAAAGCTGAAGAGTTTGTTTGAACGCGCTAATCTCAGGAACTACTGGTCCGATTTAAAAAAATTTTTCAGTGTTAGATAGCCCATTTATTGAGGAAGGCTATATAACATCACGCTAAGATAAGAGCACCAATAAAGAATGTTTCAAAATCGGGTTTTTTTTCGCTTTTGAGAGCTTCCGCTGCGTGCGCTGCAGAAACGGTTAAAGTTTCGCTAAAATATGACAGAATTGTTCCCCTTTAAAAGATCTAAAAAAAGTCCGCGACAGCATATGTCTATATGTTAAGGTGGGCTCACTATAACGTTTTTTATGCTAACCAAATTTGTTCTAAAATAAAGCATTATTTGTGAACTATTCCACGCGGACGAAGTCGCGGGCAAAAGCTAGTGTAGCTATATGTTGAAACTGAGAAGCCATATAAATATATACGTTTCACGTACATAATTTGATTTCAATGATCTCGTGAAGGCTTTCGTTCGGTTAAAACGTGCTCGTAATTTCGTAAAGCCGATAGATACGAATCGCAAAACAAATTGGATCTGTACTATGAACCTTTGTTTTAATGGCTTCTTACTTAGCGCGTGTTGTATCAATGGGATTTAAGATTTTTATTTATACATTTCAAATGTTGTTCCATGGGGAGTGCTCTGAGGAATTGTTCGAGATGATACCAGCATCTCGTTTTTACCATCGCACCGCCCGCCACCGGAGTAGAGTTCATCTATACTACCTGGAGCCACTGCGATCATCCACAGTGCGTTTCCAGAGATCTTTTTTGCCACGTACCATCCGGCTATGGAATGAGCTCCCCTCCACGGTGTTTCCCGAGCACTATGACATGTCCTTCTTCAAACGAGGCTTGTGGAGAGTATAAAGCGGTAGGCAGCGGCTTGGCTCTGCCCCTGGCATTGCTGAAGTCCATGGGCGACGGTAACCACTCACCATCAGGTGGGCCGTATGCCCGTCTGCCTACAAAGGCAATAAAAAAAAAAGAAAAGAAAAAAAGACTCAGTTCAGTGTTAACAAAAAGTACATAAGTGACTCTATAGCACCGTATGTGCGATATATTAACCCGAAAAAAAATCCTCCTTTGTTACTATTCTATGTTATATTAAGGGGTGTCGTGTCAATCTTTGAATAATATTGAACTGCACAACATTTATCAGACGTAACAATAAACGCAATAAAATTTCTTGTTGTCTTAAAAAAAAAAACAAATACATATCAGTCTGAAATTCTAACGGCTTCGACCAAATTCTAGAAGACAGATTGATTAGCAAAATATATCAGCTAATATGACAGAATCCATTGACGTAAGTAAGCCACAGAACGGTCTGAAGTTTTAGTTTCAATTTTAACACGGACTCAGTATTAAATTGGGGGTCAGTGATTCCTACACTGGAATTTGTCATTTGAAATTGCTTAATAAGTTCCTTTTTTTTTTTTATTGCTTAGATGGATGGACGAGCTCACAGCCCACCTGATGTTAAGTGGTTACTGGAGCCCATAGACATCTACAACGTAAATGCGCCACCCACCTCGAGATATAAGTTCTAAGGTCTCAGTATAGTTGCGACGGCTACCCCACCCTTCGAACCGAAACGCATGACTGCTTCACGGCGGAAATAGGCGTTCATACTTATTTATGTTGTGACTTCTGTGTTCTGAAATGTAAACTTCTTGAACACTGCTAAAATTTGAAACTGGATGAAACGAATAAGTGACACTCAGAAAGACATATCAATGATATTTAGTCCAAGCGAGAACGAGATAGAATACTTTTGAAGGTTTCACTTCTACCGCTTGTAATTTGCAAACAATTTTTGAAGTGAAAACTTCTATACCATCATTGTAATTCCAAAGACGATGAAACGAAAAAGCGACAGCAAGAAGAGACAGTCACATAAATTGATAATATTTAACGTGGGAGAAAATGAGATAGGAAGCATTATACAGTGTTTCTTATATTCGTAGTTCTCTTCGTGTTCTGTTTCGTACCTAATATTCGTACTTAATACATTCTGAATAAATCTATGTAATATATCCGAATAAAATGTAAACTAATTATCAAACTTTAAATCACTATGATCATTACTAAAACCGATACAATTATCCTCTTCCCGAAATTTTACATTCGTCTCATTATCCTGAAGCCAAAATTTTTTAAGGTTTCACTTCTACCACGTGCGAATTGCACACGATTTTTTTCTTTTTTTTATTCAATATTAAAGTATTATTCCTAAAATATCGAAACGCGGAACTACCGGTGCTGAAAGAAGTTAGAACAATAAATAGATAAGGAAACACAATACTTGAAGTTTATCTTCCATTTCATGGTATCGCAACGGCGTAATATTGTAACGGCAACAGCGACGATACATCTAATAAAGTAATGGCAGTCCGCCCTCGAAGAAATAAATTAAATAATTCAACAAATGTCCTGAATTACGAGCCCCCTCTTTTTATATTTAAAGTTGATTAAAATTTGAATCCGTCCATTGACGTATTTGTAATTTGAGTAATTTAAGCAACACAAAATTACGATAAATACCCCCAAAACATATCAACCTCACTGCATATCTGTATTCATCGTCGTACCAAGCATTCTCGGATTATCAACCTTGCCGCATTACACAACTCGATTTAACTGACATTCAATTTTAGACTCTACAACCCAACTGAGTTAAGTACTGTGGCCGAATCGTAATGTAGACGAACATAAAGACGCTTTTCGCGTTGTTGTCGTTGGGACTTATGACCTTGAGTATTGCGAAATGCGGTATTTCATCCCTATTGCGACGCGCGTACATAATTTATGTTCGAAATAGTGCACTTTCGAGTTTGTGCATTCTTCTGTTGTGACGTTGTGAAGTTTTGTATTTGAAGTGTGTGTGTGGGTTTTGATATATTGTTTTCGGTGTATAGAGAATCTGTAGGTACTTGTGTGTGTATCAGCTGTAGACCGGTCACTATTTCGCACGTTGGCATAAGACATAAAAAGCTAACTACTTTCCTATCTTAGCTGAGAGCCTCGAGAGGCTATGTCAGCGTAACCGTTACGTGTATGTGAGCTTTCGGGGCGCAAACCAGGAGGCATTGCTAACACTGGCACTAGTGAGAGCAGTGCTTCGCAGAATCTACCACTGAATCGGAAAGGCTACCCATTGAGAGGATCCGGCGAGAAACTCAGTGGGCTGTAAAGCTAACCACAACACAACTGATGAACGAAAATATGAACAAAAGAGAGGACTCAGTGGAGCCTATCGTTTATTATAAATACAACACAAGTCGTCTACCTCTAACTCGTTAGCATTTGCTTCCGGTTATTTTTAGGCATTATGCATATCGCTAATTGGTGGTAAGTAGGCAGGTAGTTACTGATGTTAGGACGTTTTATGAGTCTGCACGGGTTGTTACCACGCGTTGCGCAATGCGTTTCTGTTTGAGGGGTTGGTCACTATGTAACTGTAACTGAAGTCATATCTTAAGGTGGATGGCTCCTTTACGTTGTAGATTTCTATGGGCTCTTGTAACTACTTAACACCAGGTGGGCTGTGTACTTGTCTTCACATGTATGCAATAAAAAAGAAAAACATGAATACCTAAGTTATGTACCACAAGTTATTGTATAATACAATATGAGGCTTCCAGCTCCCGTTTCTTGGTTCGTTACCGCAATCGCGTAGTGGTGTATCTGGATTCTGGTCCACAGTTACCATCCTTGGTGGTAAGTAAGAGGCAAGACCATGGTCATAATAATAGTTCACCCATCTATGCAATGTTTTTTTTAAATGCCTTACCCCATCAAACTTCACTTACAAAATTTTCTTATACAAAAAAGACTTTCTATGCAAGCGAGTGACGTAAAATGAACTATTTTATAATCAAAACACGTAAACTATATAATATATAAAAATGAATTGCTGTTCGTTAGTCTCGCTCGAGAACGGCGGGACCGATTTGGCTAATTTTGGTCTTGAATTATTTGTGGAAATCCAGAGAAGGTTTAAAAGGTAGATAAATATGAATATTCTCAGAATTAAATAAAAATAACAATTTTGTTTTCCCTTTGATGTGTCGTCGTCGTCGTCGTCGTCGTCCCCCCCCCCGTCGCGTCGGACGGATTCATTTTGTTTGTTTTAAGTTTATTTTATACAAAAGCTTAGGTATTTTATTTATCAATTGAGGCACTAAGATGTTTTTTTTTATGATTGAAAGATTACTAGTAGTGGCCTGAAGGCCTTTCCAGTTTCACCAGGACAGGTGGCACTACGAAGTCTGCCGGGTCAGCTAGTTCTGTATAATTTTCGAACGCTAAATGAAAGAAGATTATTTTTATAAAAGGAATGATTTGACGAACGCGCGCGGGAAGACAATACATGTTTACGATGCGTCCGATGGTTACGTGACGTCACGGAGGACACACGG